ACTGAGAAAAATTATATGAGCAATTGATGGAGACAAAAATATTAGATAGAAGAATCCAAAAAGAAAACGTAAGGTTTCTTGGTAAAAGTGTTTTAGACAGCTAAAAAACAACATATCCAACCAATATGAATTAAGGGAATTTTGGCKGAAAAGCCATCCTAATTTCATGACATAAGCAGCAATAACAAAACAATATAAATCACAATTGTAAAGCTAAAGAAATASAAACCAACTGGAAATTACAGAGTACACAAAATAAGGTATTTGAAGATATAAGGGAAAAATTCACACCTTGCAGAGTTAAGATAATAGTGGACTTCAAACACAGCTCCTTTCTTTCCTCTATGAACAGATGTACATCCGTCATTATGTGGTCATGGTAAAAGTCACTAATGTAATTACAAAACTATAAGCATATATGCTTTTTTGGGGTAAAAAGGCCTGATTATGGACTGTTATCATAAGWCGATGATGTATTTCACAGTTTATTAAAAACGGAGGGAGATGTTAGATAACATCTGCTTTAGATAAAAGCTGTTAAATCATCCAGGCTGGATAATTTGCACCTAGGAGTGCACTAAGGAGAACTCTGACCTGTTGATACTAATTTTTAATAAATCTTGGAATGCTGAGAAATCCTAGAAGATAGGAGAGCACTAACCTGTATTGGCGGTTAGGCAGGACCAGCTGAACCGGGAAACCACAGCCAGCCAGCCTAACAGCAGATCTAGACACAAATAATTAAGAGCTACTATGAGAAGCAGCTGATAATTAATTATATTCATCTTATTTAACTAATTACCAGGCAACATATGTTGTACAGAAACAAGTGCTAACTGATGTCACAGCTTGATTTAAGAACTTGTATTAATGGAAATGATTTGTCATAACTAGATGGATCAAAGTAGGCGACATGACAAAATGCATCCATAGCCATCTTCTCATCCAGCATTCTTCCAATTTTTGCAGTCATTTAGGCAACAATGTAAAATCTTGCAGGGCCATTTGCAGATAGCACAAACACAGTTCAGTAAATAATGAACACCACAGACTACGTTTACCTTGTGATCCGATTTGCACAGCTAAATGGCCACAGTCCAACAAAGCATGCCTTAATTCAGGCAGGCACAGAATGCCCATGTGGGAAAGCAATAGAGACCCCATCTGMAAGGTGGAAAAGCCCACCTTGCAACACCACAAACCAAAGCGGGAGCTACAGAGCTTTACAGAGCAAAGCTCAAGCTGAAGGAGCCAATTTGTTCAACTCATGAAGAAGGAAAAAAATATATAGATATATGTATACACACACACACCCCTCACCTGCTGCAAAGGGCATTGATCTGGCACAGGGGAAGAGGAGCTTTCTAATTTGGCAGAGGAAGGCTGTAATTGCTTAGTGTGGCACAAAAGCATGATAAAAGGGAAAGTGCCATCAACACAGCATCACACAAGACGACATGGGTGATCCTGAGGGTCAAGCATAAAACAGGGGAGGCAAATGTTGGTAGTACAGAAGACAGCTATTCAAACCTCTTTGTAACACAAGGGTGGAAGGAACACAGACGTTGTCACACCGGGGGTCTGCTTTAGGCTACAGCTTTGGGGAGATCAGAAGCACAAGGCTTATTGGGAGCATCTGAAGTAAAGAACTTGCTGGTAATTAGGGACCTCTAACTACTCACACATTTGCTGGGAAAGGAAGACATCAGAGAATCTTGCATCGAGTTCCTGGAAYGTACAGAGAAAAAAATGTGAAAGAAGAGACAGGAACAGAAGTGCCAAGGAGGCTCCTCCAGCTTTGATTCCGATCAACAAGAAAATTTTCAAAAAAAAATCACAGTACAAAGCAACAAGGGCAAGAAAGTCTAAAATYACAGCATTCATACTCAACAGGTTTTTTTTCCCTGAATAAAAAGTTGTGCATTTTAAAGAACAGAAGCTTTAGCAAACTCTGAGAATTGGCAAAAAATGTGGAAAAAAAATGATAGGAGAGTTTGAGAGATGATATTTTGTAAAGACTCAGCCACAAGGGAAAAAAATGCAAATTCTCCCAGTGCAGCAGGGTGATAAGGAACYCGCACATCCAAGCTGCCAGCTCCGCTGGGGCTCACGACACAGGGAAGTGGAAACCCCATCAAGCTGCTCAAGGCTGAGCACAAAGAGCAGCTCAAGGMGCCAAGCCCGAGCACCACGCGTGCAAAGGGAGCTGCTTGCAGCCAGCGCCACGAGCAGACGTTTGATAACTACATTAGTGGGGAGACAGCCCAAAGAGTTCATCACCTCCCAAGTGGGGAGGAAAGGTTAATAGATCGCTATATGCCACTGAACACGCCACGAGTCCCTGCCGAGGCTGTTAGTGCATGTCAGCCCTCCTCGCTCCCACCTCAATCTGGTTTCTGTTAGGTTTATGCGTTTGCTTTCTTCTCTGCACAGCACCCAGAGCTCACTGGCTCTGGGAATGACATTACATGTCCTGATGTATATATAATTGGCAATTTTGAGATACACAATTTATAAAATATTTCCTCTTACGAAGCTAGTTAAATTTAATAAACACCAAATACGCCAAAAAGCTGCATTCCCCATAGGCGCGCAAAAAAAATAGCCAGATCAGATAATGAGAAAGCCAAAGTGTTGCCTAACAGACTAAAGGGTGTCACCTGAAAAAGAGATTCACCCTGCTGACCTCTCTCACACTCTCACATGCTGTCAGCACACAAGGAGCTGTAAAACTACTAATTAGGGCAAGAGAAGGCGGGTGATCCCACGAGGTTGGCTTGCAGCTGTCTCAAGAAGCAAAGAAGGATAAATACAAGAAAGATATTTCACAATAGCCAGCAACTTGCAGAATCAAACACAGTGACAGAGCTGAAAAGATGAAGTTTTTGTTGGTTTGGGCTTCACACACAGAAAGAAAACAGTTGACTGTGACCATTGAATTAATGCAATTGAAAGTAGTAGGGTAAAACTAAATTTGAATAGCATATGAGCAGAACAAATATTACTTAAATGATTTTGATGCTTCCAAATGATACCTGAAGTCCCTCAGCAGCTCTGAGAATTGGTAAGAGACGAATGATATTTCAGAAGACTGGAAAAGGGTGCTACCTTCAGCAAGGTTTAAAAATAAATAAATTCAAGCCAATTCTTGCAACCACAATTCCTGGAAAATTTGTGTGAAAAAAAATCAGCAATCAATCTATCTGTTAGCAAGGGCTAGAAAAAAATATACCACACGAAGCCAACCTTTTTCTTCAACAGAGCAATAAGGTCCTGTAAGATAGACCTGTATACCTTTATTTTAGCAAAGCTTTAAGTTCCATGTAACATTTTAATTAAAAAAATAGGAAAAAGAGTCTAAACAAAGCTCCATACACAGCAGGTTGGAGAACTGAACACAAAAAGGCAGACGTGAACAAGCAACGTTGTCTCTCAGGTCCATGATTATACTGGGGCACGTAGACCTAAGCGTCATGCACAATATGACCAAAATAGTCCTGCTGCTCTGCTTCAGTAAAGATGGAGCTCAGCTAGAGCCCTGGGCTCATTTCAAGGCAAGAAGCTTTAAAAAAAGCAACACAGACCAAGTGGAAAGAGCCCGGGGGACATCAACAGAACACAGAACCAAAAGGAAATTTTAAAAGGGCTGAAAGGGACCTCAAGAGGCAGAATCAACCATGCATGTGTCATTCAACTTGAAAATAACATGGCCATGAGGAAAGAGCAAAAGAAATAAAGTTGTTCAGTGCAGAGAACAGAAGTCTTAGGGGAAACATGATAACAGGCCTCAAATATGTAAAGGATTTCTGCACAGAGGAAAGAAGAGTACTGCAAACTGTTCTTCATATCTACAGGGATATAACATACTGTAATAGGCTTAAATTGAAGCACAAGTTGAAAAAACACTCCCTGTAGTTAGTTACCTGCTAGACATGAAGGCCAAGGATGACATGGGCTCTGTGGCACCACAGTTTTTAAGAACAAGGATGAATTGACTCCTAATAGATGCAACTTAACAGTGGTGGCTCTGCAACCTGCATGATGCCCACACCTCCCCATCAAGCCCTCACAACCTACTGGCTTTACATATGTTTGCCCATATATTTCCAGCCACACACCAAATGCTCCCAGAAAACCACATGGCAAAACCTTGCTTCAGAAAAAGCTCATATAAACAGCTGATAAAGGGGCAGGATTCCCCAGTTACAGGAACGCATAATTTCCACACCATATTCAGCTCCTCAGTTCTGAGCCTAGTGTCTCAAGAGGGATCGTGTCCTAACTGTTGAACACTAAAAACCATGAGGTCAATACAGACACCACTTCTAAGACATGGTTTTTCCAGTCCCTTGCTCCCAGAAATATCCTATGGTTTTTCCACAGCCATTACCTCTTCTTCCCCCTTTCCCATAGGAGCTGACATCATTGCCTTCCCCTCACTTGCCTTTGACCACTTCACCAGTAGCTCAGCTGTGGCTAATCAGCAAGACAAACTCAGGGGAAAATATTTATTTTTATAAATATATATGTTTTTAGCTTTGAATGCCACTTTTCTCATTTCAAACCTGAAGAAGAGTTTTTGCCCCCTGAATTTGGTCAGCCTTTTTTCCAGCCCTATCAGTAAATCAGAATAAAAGATATTATCTCTACCTATAGACATTTTTTCCCAAAAGGAGTACAGGTATAGTTGATTTATCATGGAAAAGGCTAGAAGATGCCCTCTTGAGGTCCTTTTCAGATCTCTTTTGTACAGTGCCATGAATACATATAGTAATGAAATGCATATAATGAAGTAGTCTGCAATAGAGAGAAGAAAAGAAATCCAAAAGTCTCTACTACACTTGCTACAAAAATACCAGAAAATGCCACCATAAAGCATGAGCAATTTGCACAGCACCCAGTAAAACAGCTGCCACATGCAATTCTCCCATAGAGGCCATGTTGGGCTTATGCTGTTGATCCCTAAAAAGATGCCAAAAAGTCAGAAAAGCAGCACTTACCTCTGCAACAAGGCCAGAGAACTTCCCAGGTCCTGTCTTAGAGCACATTCAGCATCACAAGCCAGTGACACCTCCCACCCCACACACAGAGTAGTCCCCATGGAGTTTACTTCTAACCAGAGATAAAACCATGCATCTAGGAAAAAAATCCAGAGGGGAAAAAAAAAAAAAAAGAAAAAAAAAAGAAAAAAAAACCAAAGTAGAGCAACCTTTCAGCAGTGCAGGCACCCAAAGGTCTCTCAGCCCTGCACCCAGCTCTCTGCACAGATCCCAACACAGACATCGTGCAAACCCCACTCTCCCTCGTGGCCTCTGCAGGATGAGTCCTGTGGACACATCCTGTTCCAGGACCCCCATCTCCCAAAACAACCACATTCAACAGGAACTGTAGCCCTGCTGGTCACCATGGGAGGCTCACAAGTGCAGGAAACACAAATGTCACAGGTGCTCGACCTGAGCCATATGATCCCCTGCCAAGGGGGGAGAGCAACTGTGGCTCTCATTGCCTTTGGAGGAGAGGAGAAAAACATATTTCTGCAAGGCAGCTTCTCACTTGCAGACATCCTTACGCAGATGCACTGCTCTATTCCCTGCTCCAAGCCACCCTATATGCATTTCCCACACAGTGGCCCTGCACTGACACCATTGCTCCCAAACCCTCTGCTCATCACCATGCCTTCCTGCATGTGCCACCACACAGAGCAGGCATCACTCACACCACTGCTGGGGACAAGCAATAACATTCCCTCCATCTCAACCGTGGCACGCACTGTTATGACTCACCTGAGCCAGAAGACACTTCTGTCTAGCCAGCAGCAGCTCCAGCAGCCTTTTCCCCAAAAAAGTCCTACCCAGCCCTCACAGCCGCTCTTATAGAAGCCTCGAACTTAGTGGTCAATGTGAAACACCTGATTGCAACTTCAGACCCTCCTCCCCCAAGCAATGATTCACACTCTCCTGCAACTGTGATCTCTGTTCCTATCAGCCCCAACCTGTTCCTGTCCCCCCAGGTGCCTCTAAGTGCAGCTGGGAGGAGGTTGCTGGTCTCTGTGAAGGCCCTGGGCAGTGCGGGACCTTGTGGTGTCCATTCAGGGGAACCTGCCTATTCCCTGGAGGGAGTTTCTTTCCTTGATTCCTGATTTTCGAGGCTGTGTCACACAACATGACAGGCTAGGGGTGCTCTCACCACTCACTGCCTCACACAGTGTGAATGGGACATTCATTGCATGACAGGCTTTTGATCCAGGGAAGCAATCTGCATGGCAGCTTCAGGCAGAAGGTGGGACAGGAAGAGGAGACGTTTTCCCCCTGCTCAGTCCAGTGAGAATGAGAAATGCATCAGTGTTTGGCTGCCTTGCAATGGGAACTTTTGAATGTAAATGCACTATTTATGGTTCAGAGTTGTATCTTGGGAAGCTCAGTTACACTTAACACTTCACAGAAATGCAGAAGGGGACCGTTTCTCACATATGTCCATTGACCTTCTGAGCAATTCCCTCTTCCATTAGGCTTAACTGGCTTTGCTTAATAACAGCACAGAAATCAGCATATATCCACTCTTTCAAAGAACAAACACAGCATGTAAAGCCAGCAAGAACTGGCACTGCAGATGGAGGGTTTCAGACTTAATCTGCTAAAGTTCTGCCTGCCACTGCCCTGCTCCCCATGAGCTCGCTTGCTAACACCCACGTGTGCATCACATCTCCAAGGTCCCAGGGCAGCTCCTTGTGTCACACTCAGCTCTGGGGCTCCCAAATCATCTGAATGCGACCAAGTCCTTTCTCCAGAGGACTGAAAAACTAGGGAGCCAACTGTGGCTATTGCAACTTTTAATCCTGTAGATACAGGTAACTTGTTCCACCTATTTGACTAGAAAAGAGCAAAGAGATGTTTCTACAGAAGGACTCGTGCTCCTCACCTACCACCCCAACAGGCTGGCTCAGCCAGTAGGTTGCAAAGAGGAGCAGAGAAGTCTGGGCCCTCTCCTGCTCCACCACGGCCTCGCTGAGAGCTCAGGAGATGCTGATCTGCGAAACAAGACACCCGGCTCTGAGCAGCAAGGGGAAGCAGTGGAGATTAATAAGCCCCAAAATGTTTTACAGCATTTAAATAATACTGCCTCAGATCAAAGACGATCACTCATCTCAATGAGGCAGACTCAGTAAGCCTGGAAAGATCACGTACAGAAAACAAATGCAAGATGCAAGAGAAAGCCTGCAGACAGGAGCAGAGGAAAGCTCATACTTGTCTAAAGAAATTGAAGTGGCCTAAGCCAGAGTCTAACATATGTTCCTGGAAGAGCAAGAGCCAGAAAAATTGCCTGGTTTCACTCAGTCTCAGTTGTGTCTCAGCACATAGGGAAAAAAAAAAAAAAAAAAAAAAAAAGAGAGGAAAAAAAGCAAAGAGCATACATTTCATTTTAAGACACCCACTTACCTTGGAGGTACCTGCTGCTGGAAGCAGCTCAGATTCCAGGAAAAATGGGCTGTCCTCTCTGATCACTGAGATAAGGAGCATGCTGGAAACTACATGCAGCTAGCAAATATATATGAGAAAGCTCCTGGTTTGCACAGGGGTGTGGTCAGGGACCTACAATTGCCATGATGCCTCAGGGACTGCTGAGTTACACTCCAGGACTCTCGTTCTTAAAGATGGGAGGACCCATGGAGGTCCAAGGGCAATATTGGAGAACCGCATGGGCAGAGAGCCTCAGAGGCCTGGTCCGTGGTGTTTCCAGTTGCTCATGTAACTGTGAGGAGGAGGAAGAGAAGGTGGCTTTTTACCCAGATCACTACAGCAGTGGCGGTGGTAGCCCAGGAATAAGCCTGACTTCATGGTGCTGTTCTTGCTCTCAGATGATGGTGGATTAGCTATGCTTTTTCTTCTTACACAGCTTTGGGCAAGATGCTCCATTTATGGTTCTTTGATATAAAGTGCTATGGAAACTAACAATAGCAGGAATGCCTCTTGCATGGAGGCTTGGGGCTGAATGTTCGTTCAGTCTGGATCAGGCACTAAGTCCTGGGGCTCAGCCACAAAATACATACTGCATGGGACTGAGTGACTTGTGGATACAAACCTCCACGGGAGATTCCTTGTTTGCAGGGTCCCCAGTATTCCAGCCCTGCAAACTCAGGGATACCCTTCAATGTCCCTCCCCAATCTAGGGCTGCATCCTTACTCCTGAACCTCCCCTCCAGGACCTTGCTGCTGACCTGGGGTCTCCCTATAACAGTGTATGAAAAACACTGTGCAGAACAAAAAGAAGTCCTCAAGCAAACTCTGGCTGATTGAATTTTGAAGGTAAGGAATGCCCTGCTGCAACAGATGTACAACCCCCTCTGCCCACCCCAAACACCAGATCCATCACAGGGAAGGGAAATATTTACACAAGTTAGTAGAGTTCCAGTTAAATATTATGCTTAGCTGTCTAGAGTCCATGTTCTCAGACTATGTCTATGAAATAAAAGATTAAACTTCATAACAATTATGAAGATGTTCTGCCCACATTCAGAGGGATTTAAAGGACATTAAAATAGTTCTTTGGGTAATATTACAGTGAAATTGTTCTCTCTCTCCATGAGAGCCAGAGCTAAAACCTCCTGAACTCTCCTATAAACACACTTGGAAAGGCTAAGAGCGGAGCTGATAAGCAGGTAGCACCTCTGCTCTGCAGGTTCTGTAAAAAATGTGAGCAATGCCTGCAAGCTTTTGAAGCAGCGAGGGAAGGAGGACAGGGGAGAGCAGCTTCTCTTCTCGAGGGAAGTTTGTTTAGTGGAAAGTAAGCAAGTTGTCAGGGGAAAAGCTGACAATGTTGATTCCAGCAGTTGTACTGGGAATAAACAGCCAAGTGGATTATGTTACAGGGAATGAGAAACGGTTCTGAGGATCCCATTTAAATGCCGGGCTTTCAGGAGCGCTGCGACTCAGCCACGCTTGCCCACAGGCCCGAGGGTCCCAGCTCCATGCCTGGCCACCTCGGGGGGTCCCTCAGGAGGCCTGGCCACAGCAGCGGCTCCGGGGAAGCCGAGCTCAGTGGTGCAAGGCCGTGCCCACCGAGGGCTTGGTCAGGCTCGGTGCCGCAAGGCCGTGCCCGCCAGGGGCTGGGCCAGGCTCAGTGCCACAAGGCCGTGCCCACCAGGGGCTCGGTCGGGCTCAGTGCCACAAGGCCGTGCCCACCAGGGGCTGGGCCAGGCTCAGTGCCACAAGGCCGTGCCCACCAGGGGCTCAGTCGGGCTCAGTGCCACAAGGCCGTGCCCACCAGGGGCTGGGCCAGGCTCAGTGCCACAAGGCCGTGCCCACCAGGGGCTCAGTCGGGCTCAGTGCCACAAGGCCGTGCCCACCAGGGGCTGGGCCAGGCTCAGTGCCACAAGGCTGTGCCCACCAGGGGCTCAGCCAGGCTCAGCGCAGCAAGGCCGTGCCCACCAGGGGTTAAGTCGGGCTCAGTGCTGCAAGGCCATGCCCGCCAGGGGCTTGGGGCAGGGCTGGGTGCCGCAAGGCCGTGCCCACCAGGGGCTAAGTCGAGCTCAGTGCCGCAAGGCCGTGCCCGCCAGGGGCTTGGAGGCAGGGACACGGCGGTGGCTGGTGAGGCTGCGCAGGGGCCCGTTCCCGCTCGGAGCCCAGCTGCAGGGGTGGCCGGCATGGGCTCTATGGAGCTGCCACAGCCCTCTCGTGCCCCCGTCGTGGTGGCCACCACAGGCAGGGTTTGCTGCAGCCTCCCCGGCCAGAGCGAGGGGAGCCCCCTCCCCAAAAGCGGGATGTTTCCCTGCCTTCCGGGGGAAAGGCACCGGGCAAGAGGGGAAGAGGAGCTTGTTTGATTTATTAGTCTCTTCCTCCTCCTCGTCTGTGGCTCATGCAGCTGTAGTGATAAAGAGAACAGCTATGAAAGGACACTGCTGGGATCCCATCCTCCTGCCCACTCACTGCCTGAAGACATCAGTCCTTTACAAGCACCATTAAATGTGTATCCAAAATGTGGCAGTCTCTTCCATCCTTTGAGATTCTGTTCCATGGATAATACAAACAGTTGCCAGAAAAAGAGTATCATCTCAGCTCTGTCTGGGCCATTATCCCTTTATATTTGCTCTTTAATATTTACTGGGTTCACACAAAGTGCATGCTCTGAAAAAAAAAAATCAGCTGCAGCTTAAAGGACTCCAAATTTAGTAATTGCTGCAGCCCCATCGACGTGAATATTTAGCAGGGAGATTTCTACAGCACTTCACGTCCTGTGGTATTCTGCTTAGATCAGACTTTGGAAAACATGCTGTCCCTGGGCACCAAATCTGGAGTGTCTGCGAAGGTGCCAGCTGCAAAGGCCTTATGAGTCCACCGTGATGTCCATCTCTTCCCTCCCAGTACCCTGTAATCTTAGTAAAAAACAAAGGTGGCCTGAGAGATGCTGAAAGGTGGCGCACCCGAGGGCTTTAACAGACCTGTGAGTTAGCACCAACTCCTAGCTCCAGAGCTGGTCTCGCAGCCTTACCTGTTAATGTGAGGTTGCTGTATGTGTTTGAAAACTGCTCCTTTAACAAAACCAAGTGCATCTGAGCTGCCTTTTCCCTCTGTAGCTCCAACATAATGTCAGGATGCTGGGCGATCTTACAGCCTTTCTGCTTATCCAGGGCAATGTCACTGCGAACAATGTCTACAGCAAAAGGGAAAGAAAAAAGGGAGATGGCCAAACCTCAGCTTTCGTTTTCACCAGATGCTTGGATCAGAACCAGCCAACATGACAGCCACACAACCATCACTCAGCATGAGCAATCCCCAAAAAAGGGTCCAAACCCCTTGGGTCCACCTGTCCAATGAACCTGCTCTGCTTTGCAGTAGTCTCCTTTGCTCCCACAGAAATCTCAAGTCAATGGCTTTAATATGCTAATACAACCTTTCCCCTTTCCATCCTTTCTGTTCCTAGAGGCTGATTTCTTACAGTAGGAGGTCTCTCTTGCTAAAAAGTGCTGAAATCACCCAACACCTACATTACCTCCTTGTTATGAATGCCAATGTGACAATAAATAACAGGAAAAAATAAATCCGTTTCTGGTGGCTCACTGGTCACCATTTCCCCTCGCTTGTCCAAGGAATGGTGAAGAAGTCTTGTCCATGCACTGTTTATCTTTGCTGCACCTATCACCACTAGAGTTAGGTCAGCACAGCTCATGATATTTGAAGAGCTCTCTGTACCCCTCTAATCCCACGGAATCAATTCAAGAGGTGGGAAGATTATTTAACATTTAGATTCACTTCATATGAACATTTTACACATCACATGGTGGAACATGAATATGACATTCCGTCTCCTAGAACTACTGACCTGCAGGGGAAACACGAAGATGGGGGTATAGCAGGGGAGGACAGAAGTCAGGCTAAATGTGGCCAATGTCTGAACAGTGGAAATGTGGTGCGAATCAGTCTTTAAGAAGCTGCTTTCTGAGTGTAATACTCTCTAAAGCTCAGATGTCATGGGCACCATACTCAGCACTTAATTCTTACAAAACGTCAGGTGTCGTGAACTGAAAATAAGTGATGAAAGCTGGAGTTCTCGACTGCACTGTATGAGGACACCTTTTTCATCTTGAGGTCACCCTTTGCTTGGCCTGATTCTCATGTAGCTAAAAGCTTCTAAAAGAGTTTATTTTCAGAAGAGAGTATTGTCTTGTTCCATGTATATTCTCTAGCTCCATTACATTAATGCAAATCAAAGAACACCAAAATAGTCATGCTCTTGTATTTCAACGAGTCAAATCTTAACCTTAGCAAACATAGGTTCAAAGCTCTGCTATGTCCAAGGCAAGTGGAAGAGTAAAAACCACATTCTTGTCCTGTCTCTGAGCTTCATCCTAGAGCTATGTCCTGCTCAGACTGAGTCTCTGTCTGTCTTGAATCTAACATAACATCTCCATGCAGAAGCCAGTGTGCTTGGGAGTGGAGACACGGTAATATCCAACTAGCATGAAAATACGGCTCAGTACTCTCACATGCAGCACAGAGGCTGGATGAGATACATAAAGATGAGATGGAGCAGGAAGAAAGAAGAGCATGAAACTGTACAGGAGCTTATACCAAGACCAAAGAGCTATGGGGAGCCTGAGAAGTCTCTCAGGGGGTCAGATGTAGCCGGTCCAGTCAGGACCTGGCCCTTGGGCTGGAGGTGCTGGGACAGGACCTTGGAGAGTGCAAGGGGACACAGTAGCAAGGCCAGCATGACATCCCCACCTCCATCATCATGGATCACGAGGCACAGCAAACACAGGCTTGTGCACACAGGGAAGCAGGTGTAGCTTTTAGTGCTGCTTTTAGGGTCTGATGTTACTGTAGCAGGGATGCATGAGGACATCAGACCACATTTATACAACCTCCTCCCCAAGTCTTTTCTTAGACATTGAGGTCCAGGAGCAGGTGTGCAGGGCACAGAAAACCGGGACACTCTTCTTGTAGTCAGAAGTTCATGGGACTCTGACAGCACTCTAACATCCCAGAAATCTGCTACTGGAGACATTCAGGAGATAGCTGTCCATGACCCTTGCCTCCCAGAGCAACAAAGGACCCAACAGGCCCAGAAGAAACAACAAACAAAAACAAATAAAACAGTTGGCAGATATCTGGGATATGAATGTGCAGCCTCTCAATTAATTAAATGCCTGGTCCTCCATCCCCTGCCACCCTGGCCTTCCAAAGCTGCACCTCTGCATTGATCTTCTGCACTAGCAGCACAGAAGGCAGGCAGGAGGACAGGGCACAGCTGCTGGAGAAGGTCAGGAAAATTTTGGCCAGAATAACCCAGGGAAAAGTGCCAGTAAGAAGCCTGCAGCCACCAAATCTGAAAGGAGAAGAGAGAAAAGGGAATGAAGCAAGAAGAAGAGTGAGGAGAATCACTGCAGGGTGCAGCTGCCAGGGCAGGAGAACGACACTGCCTTACCCAGTGTGGAGCAGCAAAAATAAATAAATAAATAAATAAATAAAGACAAAAAAGACAAAAAAAAAAAAAAAAAGGAAAAAGAAAAAGAAAAAGAAAGAAAGAAAAAAAGAAAAAGAAAGAAAAAAAAATACCAAGCAAAACAAGAAACCAAACAGCTCTTGCCAGAAGTGCGAAAGAAGAACTCCAGATGTGGAAGCCCCAGAGGACGCCAAATGGTTTCCAAAGACGGCAAACCACGAGCTCTGCCTCGAGCGGGCCCGGCAGGGCTGCGGCGGCCCCGGAGCCGGCGGGCCGGGCCGGGCCGGGCCGGGTCAGTACCCTGGCCAGCTCAGCGTGCCCCCGGCCCGGCG